GATAGTGGATGAACACATCCTAAACTTTATTAGACAATGTCAAATTGTTTCCCCAAGTAGATGGAAAGGCCTTGTTGATGCTTTGCCTTGGCAACACTTGATATGATTTTTTTCAGCCATTCTTGTGTGTGTATATCTCATTTTCCCTCATTATTCATGAAATTTTGTAATGATTATTTGTTTAATGAGCAATAAGATTTCCTCTTTTTGAGGGATTTAACGGTAATTTTTTTCTCCATTCTGTTTATTTCTTGAATTGAGTCCTTTGGACCTAATTCATGTCAGCTGATCAGCTTCCTTCTCTGTTGCCTGCTCCCCACGGTGGTGCTGCCTTTACTCTGCCTTTGAAGAGTTCTCTTTCTTTCTCTAGAATGATCTGTTCAAAGCAGGGTCCGATGAAGCTCCCATTTTAGTTTTCTTTGATCCAACCTGACAGAACTGGACATACCCTTCCCTGAGCTCCCAAGAAACTTCTTCTTCTTTTTAAAATATTTATTTATTTATTTGAAAGTCAGTGTTGCAAAGAGAACAAGGCAGAGGCAGAAAGAGAGAGAGGTTTTCCACTCACTGGTTCACTCCCCAGATGGCTGCAGTGGCCAGTGCTGGGTCAGGCCAACGCCAGAGGCTTCATCCAGGTCTTCCAGGTGGGTGTAGGGGCCCGCAGCACACTGGCCGCAGCGGCCATTGGAGGGTGAACCAACGGCAAAGGAAGACCTTTCTCTCTGTCTCTCTCTCTCACTGTCCACTCTGCCTGTCAAAAAAAAAAAAAGTGGAGCATCCGGGACTCGAACAGGTGCCCACTTGGGTTGCTGGCACTGCAGCTGGCAGCCTCACCTGCTTTGCCACAGTGCCAGCCACAGAACTTCTTCTTATAATATCATTTAATATTATATTACCTTCTATAAGGAGGCTTCAAATGGTCTGTGGAAAATGAGATTAAAAGGTAAGTTTATTTTCCTGCAAAATAAATTTTGAAATCCATACATATGTGGGTTCTTCAAAAGGTTCACAAGGAGCTAGGCACTTGCTGTAGTGGTCAAGATGCCCATGTCACACATCAGAGTGTCAGGGTTCAGTACCCAGCTCCGGCTCGGACCCCAGCTCTGGCTAATGCAGAAGCTGTGGTGCAGCTGTTGATGGTCAGGTACTTGAGTTCTGCCTCCCCCATGTGCAATGTGGATGGAGTTCCAGCCTCCCAGACCTGGACTTGCTGCTAGTGCTTGCTAAGCTGTGAAGGCAGCAACAGCTGTGTGAGCAGTCATGCACCCTTCGAAGGGAGGCTGGGGCCAGTCAAGGAAATGTGCTGTCACTGAGTCAGGGGCCGGTGAAGGCACAGCTGGTACACTCACCGTGACGACTCTTCCACACAGCTTTCAGCTGAGAAGCACAGGTGTGCACACTTTAATAATGATCGATAGAATCCAGAAACTGGAGGAGAGACAGAGAGGGAGAGAGAGTTGTGTCCTGGATGCCATGTATATTGTCCTGTACCCTGAGGTCTGCAGCCACTTTTGTGCCTTGTTTCCCCACTATTGGATTTCTGCTCCCTTCCTCCGTTTTGACCGCCCCTTTCTATTCAACAAGAACTGTCATTTGCAATTTTTTCCCTTTAGATTCATGTTCTTTTAAGTTGGGTTTCTGGTGTTTTCTACCAACTGAATGCACCTCTCATTTCCTGAGCTGGTGCAGGCTGAGTTTGTGTTCAAAGGAAAGTGAACTTTGAGCACTGTGGATTGGCTGCTGGCACAGAAATACAGGGCCGAGTCCTCTAGTTCAGTGGACTGGATCTCCACGCTGCAGGGCGAGTTTGTGGGACATTGAGCTGAAAATCGCTCATTGATCATTTCTGTTTTCTCAATAATTGCTTCATCCTGGAAGTACACCAAAAACTTGAGTTCCTCTTCTGGCTTCTGACGATACCAATAAACATAACTGTGTCTTTCTGCAGGGACACACTCCATCTTTGCTGTCTGTGCCTTTCCCTTGAGCAGATGTCTGGGAGTCTGGGTGACCTCTGTGTCCATGGAGCCTGTGGAGGGAGGAGACAGAAGCTGGAGCAGAAGCCCCTGAGGGAGCCTGGGAGAGCAGCCACAGCAGGCTGAGCAGCCCGTGGGACTGGCATGCGCTGGTGCAGAGCAGGGCCTCACCTGCTCCCCAGAGACACAGGGCCCCCCAGCAGAGCAGACTGAGGCGCATGGTGTGTGCAGGAGGAGAGAAGTGGCAGGGGGCTCTTCCTGTAAGGCTTTCTCCTCCCAGCAGTCACCTCCCTGTGACGTCCTCACTGCCCATGGGCTTCACCCTTGTCCTGCATGTGGGCCACACAGGTGTCATAGGCTGTGGGAGGGTAGGGTGTGTTTTAGCTGGAGAGGACAACTGGTGTGATTCTAGCCCATTTCCTCCTTCATGTGATGAAATCTTTCACTCTTTTTGCATGAAAGTCATTTTCATGTTATTTATTCATTGGGTTATTAACAGCATATTTTGTCATCTTCCTTTCATCTCAAGTAATAAGTCACAAATTTAATGTATATCATGCATGAATCTCAAAATTTCTTTGATCTGAGTTAACCTAATTTCATATTCATTTTTTATTAATTATTTAATGCACACTTGCATCAAAGACTTTGCTAAACTTATATAATCACAAAGCAGCTACTTTACATTAAGAATTAGATGCAGGACCACTTTAAACATATTTTCAACAATTACGAGTGCATGGAGAGGAACAATGCAATGAGTATTTTTGTTTGTTTAAAAGAGGAATTATCGCTGAGACTTTCTAGCCCATGTTACACTTGTAGATTCCGTTTTACTTTCTCTACCATGTTCATGTAACTAAGCCTGAATTATTATTTGTGGTTTTTTTTTATTAGAGTGAGACAGAGATCCACCAATCACACCTCAAATGCGTCCAACACATGTGCGTGAATCAGACAAAAGCCAGGAGGTGGGAACACAGTCTGAGCCTCCCATGTGGTTGGCAGGGACCCATCACTGCAATGGCCGGGACCTACTGAGCCATCAGTGATGCCTCCCCGGAAGCTGGAGTCAGGAGTCAGGAGTCAGGAGCCAGGTGTTGAACCCAGGTTCTCTGATGTGGGAGGCAGGCATCTGAATCTGCCAGACTAACCACCTACTTAAATAAGCTGTATGTTTTAGAACACTTTGCTGCTCTCTGCAAAGTTGAGCATACTGACCGTTCTCCATGCCCACTGTAGCCCCATGGGTAGCCACCTGCATATTGACCTCCAGTGCTGTACGGCTGCAGATCTGATGCGTGTGGACTGCAGGTGGAGGGAGAACAGAACGTAGACTGGGCCAGCAGGGCGATGCACCCAAATGCTTCACTCTAAGTCATGTGCTTGAATGTGGAATACGCTCTTTAGTTTTAAAAGTCACAGGTTTATTTTCAGAAACAAAATAAACCTCAACCTCATCTTGATGTGTACCTTGCAGGATTTCCAAGTTTTATGAAATGTTTGAATGAGCAAAGCTTGCCATAGAGCAGAGGAGCACTAACACTTGAGGCCGACGCTGTGAGCGTCAGTGTGGTCGCTGGTGATCATGCCTTCAGAGGCGGAGACTTCAACTGAGACATTTTAAATTTTTTAAAATTTTTTAAAATTTATTTGACAGGTAGAGTTATAGACAGTGAGAGAGAGACAGAGAGAAAGGTCTTCCTTCCATTGGTTCACTCCCCAAATGGCCGCTACAGCTGGTGCTGCGCTGATCTGAAGCCAGGAGCCAGGTGCCTCCTCCTGGTCTCCCATGCGGGTGCAGGGCCCAAGCACTTGGACCATCCTCCACTGCCTTCCCGGGCCACAGCAGAGAGCTGGACTGGAAGAGGAGCAACCAGGACTAGAACCTGGCACCCATATGGGATGCTGGCACTGCAGGTGGAGGATTAACCAAGTGAGCCACGGCGCCAGCCCTGTGAGAATATGTTTTAGTAATTAAATTCCTTAGGAATGTTTAAAAAGTACATTCATGATGATTTTGTTAAAATCAACTTAGGAAAAAAGCATGCAAAATTTTAATGGTAAAAACTGTGAAGTTGTACTGAAAGAAACTTTAACGAAAACCTCCAATAGGTCCAATTCCTTGCTAATGTGCCTGAGACATAGCAATTGTTTGCCCAAGTTTTTGAGTCCCTGCTACCAATGTGGGAGATAGGATGGAGTTTTTGGCTCCTGACTTCATCCACGCCCAGTCCTGGCTCTGTGGCTATTTTGGGAGAGAAACAGTAGATGAAGCATCTCTCTGTCTATGTCACTCTGCCTTTCATATCATCGATGGTCATTTTTTCTAACCCAAAGACCTCAGTGCAGATATATAGGAGAACATAAGGAGAATATCTATAATTGATTGTCATGGTAGTCACATGAGTATACAATTTGTCAAATTCTAATGAAATTTACATTTAAGTAGTTGTATTTGTCTCATGTATCATATTCATAAAGTTGATTTTAAAAAATCTCTTAGATTTTATTTCAGCATTATTTATTTATTTCAGGGATTATTTCAGGAGCAGGAGTTGTTGGGAGTTTCTGCTAAATCTCCAGTGCACACACAGCTGTGCGGGGCAGCCATTCAACCCTCAAGGAGAGGCTGAGTCTGGGTGAAGGACATGCATTGGATTGCAGGGTCAGGATCCATGTGATGAGCTGATGTGCTCATCATCTGTACCCCTAAATGTGTCTGTTTTCCCGGTGAAAAGTCAGAATTATACATGTCAATAAAGACTTAGAAATGAGAGAGAGAGAGAGAGAGAGAGAGAGAGAGAGAGAGAGAGAATGGTGCACTCTGATATACTTTGCCTGCTATCACATACCCTGGCAATTTTTTTTTTGCCTTCCTTCTCCAGCCTGTGGATTTCTGTACCCATGTACATGCTAAAAACCACATTCTTCTCACTTTGAGCTGTCATCTACATTTCATCCTTTGGATTTATGCTCTTACACGTTGGGTTTCTGGTGTTTTCTAGCAGCCGAATGCACCACTCATTTCCTGAGCTGGGTGCAGGCTGAGTTTGTGTTCAAAGGAAAGTGAACTTTGAGCACTGTGGATTGGCTGCTGGCACAGAAATACAGGGCCGAGTCCCCCAGGTCAGTGGACTGGATCTCCACGCTGCAGGGTGAGTTTGTGGGACATTGAGCTGAAAATCGCTCATTGATCACTTCTGTTTTGTCCAGAATTTCTTCATCCTGAAAGTACACCACAAATTTTATCTCTTCTTCTGGCTTCTGACGATACCAATAAACATATCTGTGTCCTTCTGCAGGGACACAGTCCATCTTTGCTGTCTGTGCCTTTCCCTTGAGCAGATGTCTGGGAGTCTGGGTGACCTCTGTGTCCATGGAGCCTGTGGAGGGAGGAGACAGAAGCTGGAGGAGAAGCCCCTGAGGGAGCCTGGGAGAGCAGCCACAGGAGGCTGAGCAGCCCGTGGGACTGGCATGCGCTGGTGCAGAGCAGGGCCTCACCTGCTCCCCAGAGACACAGGGCCCACCAGCAGAGCAGACTGAGGCGCATGGTGTGTGCAGGAGGAGAGAAGTGGCAGGGGGCTCTTCCTGCAAGGCTTTCTCCTCCCAGCAGTCACCTCCCTGTGACGTCCTCACTCCCATGGGCTTCACCCTTGCCCTGCACGTGGGCCACACACATGTCATAGGCTGTGGGAGGGGAGGGTGTGTGTTAGCTGATGAGCACAACTGGTGACAATTGTAGCCTACTTTGATTTTCTTTTTTGACTTATTCTCACTCTATTTGTAATGAAAATCGTTTTCATGTTGTTCATTTATTTGCTGGTTAACATTGCTAGTTTGTCTCTTTCTTTCTCTCCCTGGCCATGAATCATACGCTTAAGTGTATGGTATGCAAAGATTGCTCACTTTCTTTGTACTAAAAGAAACACCTTGTATGTACATTTTCTGTTAACAATTTGAAGCACACTGTACCAATCATAATCACAGAGCAGTACTTTACCTTTAGGAATTAAATATTGAACTACCAGAAAACATGCTGTGCATAGAAGAAATAATGAAATTGATGTCTCTGTGGATTAAAAGAGTAAATGTCACATTGGTTTTGTAGTCTGTGTTATACTTAGAGATGCCATTTTTCTTACTTCATCATGTCCAGGTAATCATATTCCAGTGATAATTTTTGTCGTTCTTTTTCATTTGCGAGAGACAGAGAGTCAATACAAAAGTTATGCATGGTTCTGGACCAGATCAAAGTTTGGGACGAATTCCAGGCCTCCCATGTGGGTTGCAGGGATCCACGCACTTGAGCCATCACTGATGCCTCCCAGGGCCTGTGTAGCAGGAAGCTGGAGTCAGGAGGCAGAGCCTGAATCCAGATCCTCTGGTGGGGATGCATGCATCTTTATTGCAATAAACTGCAGTTTTCACATCCCATTTTGAACTTGAGCATCAGTGGCAAAGGGCCCTCGTATCTCTGTTGCTCTCCTGCATTGACCTCCAGTGTTATCAGTCTGCAGAGTGCTGGAGGCAGGCTGCAGGGTAGCGAGTGCAGAATGAAGACGGGGCAAGCAGAGCTGATGCATCCAGTTCTGTGTTCTAGGTCTCGTGTTGAAATGTGGACTACACCCTTTAATTTTTTGTCACAGGTTTATTTATTCATTTATTTTTAAAAGGCAGAGTGGACAGTGAGAGAGAGAGACAGAGAAAAAGGTCTTCTTTTTTCCATTGGTTCACCCTCTGGTGGCTGCTGCGTCCAGCGCGCTGTGGCCGGTGAACCACGCGGATCTGAAGGCAGGAGCCAGGTGCTTCTCCTGGTCTCCCATGGAGTGCAGGGCCCAAGCACTTGTGCCATCTTTCACTGCACTCCCTGGCCACAGCAGAGAGTTGGACTGGAAGAGGGGCAACTGGGACAGAATCTGGAGCCCCGACCGGGACTAGAACCTGGTGTACCAGAGGATTAGCCTATTGAATCGAGTTGGCCCGTCACAGGGTTCTTTTTAGAAACAAGAATGCTTCATGTTATTGTGCACATTGCAGTGTTACCCAATGTTTCAGAAGTGTGTGAATGTGCATATTTAGAGCACAAGGGTACTAGCACTCAGGTGGGTCTCCTGGGACGAGGGACTGACATTGTGAGCTCCCAGGTGGTGCTGCGGCTACGGCCTTAGGTGGAATATGCTGAGACAGCCTCAACGAGTGAGGCATTGGAAACCGATGTGCAAAGGTGGAAAATAGATTTTAGCAAGGACATCCCTCGTGAGTGTTTAGGAAGACCTTCAATTCCAATCCACCTCCATGATCACATGCTGGGAGGTGGTAGATGGTGGCTCAAGTACTTGAACCTGAGAATCGTGGCTCCTGATGTCAGCAGGGCCCAGACCTAGCTGTTGTGGCCATTTAGGGAGTGACCCAGCAGATGAAAATTACTGTCGCTCGTGCTCTCCCTCTCTCTTTCTCACACACATTCTATTTCTCTTTCCCTCATTTAGTCTTTGAAATAATAAATTAGATAAATAAATAAACAAAACCTTTTTCAAAAACCCAACACCTCAGTAAAAACGCACAGAGGAGCTATTGGGGAAATCTGTGATTGATTGCCATGGCAGTCACATGCGTTTAAAATTCAGTGAAATGGACAGTTACAATACACACATTTTATCATATTTATCATATGACTCAATGACGTTGCTTTAAAAATTGCTTAGCAGGGGATTCCAATTCAATCCCATCAAGGTGGCATGTACCAATGCTATCTCACTAGTCCCGGTGATCAACTTCTGTTCACAATTGATCGCAATGATAGGACTAAGAGCCAAAGGGAGCACATAAACAAGACTTGTGTCTGCAAATACTAGCTGATAGAATCAAAAAGGGAGAGAACGATCCAACATGGGAAGTGAGATACACAGCAGATCCATAGAATGGCAGATGTCCTAAACAGCACTCTGGCCTCAGAATCAGCCCTTAAGGCATTCCAATCTGGCTGAAAAGCCCATGAGAGTATTACAGGCATGGAAAGCCAAAACACTCTGGCAAAAATAAATAAATAAATAAATAAATGATCTCCCCGAGTGAGATCCCAGTGAAAAGAACAGGTCATCAAAGAAGGAGGTACCTTTCTCTGAAGGGAGGAGAGAACTTCCACTTTGACCATGGCCTTGTCTAAATATGATAAGAGTCGGTTAACTCAAAAGGCTTCCATAGCCTTGGCAACTCATGACAAGAGCCTAGGGTGATTACTGATGCCATAAACAAGAGTGTCAATTTGTTAAGTCAACAATAGGAGTCACTGTGTACTTACTCCTCATGTAGGATCTCTGTCCTTAATGTGCTGTACATTGTGATTTATTGTTATAACTAGTACTCAAACAGTATTTTTCACTTTGTGTTTCTATGGGGGTGCAAACTGTTGAAATCTTTACTTAATATATGCTAAACCAAACTTCTGTATATAAAGAGAATTGAAAATGAATCTTGATGTGAATGGAAGCGGGGAGGGAGACGGAAAGGGGAGGGTTGCGGGTGGGAGGGAAGTTATGGGGGGGGGGAAGCCATTGTAATCCATAAGCTGCACTTTGGAAATTTATATTCATTAAATAAAAGTTAAACAAAATTGCTTGATGGGAGTATTCCAGGGGACAGGAGATGCTGAGAGCTCCGCTACGGTTCCAGGGCATTGGACAGCTGTGAGAAGCGGTCATGAAACCCTTTAAGAAGGCTTGGGTCCAGGTCAGTATGTGCTGGATGCCAGGTCAGGGCCCACGGGCTCATCATCCTTACTGTGAACACCTGGGTTTCCCAGGTGAGAAGCATAGAATGATGTATGTTACAGGGATTGTTACAATCCAGAAACAGAAGACAGCGTTGTGCTGGTATACCTTGTGTACTTTTCTGTACCGGCGACATCACCCTCTTTTTTGCCTGCTTTCGCTTTCCTTGAATTTCTGTTCCCATCCTCTGTTGTAAACACTCCTTACGTCTCACATAGGGCTGTCATTTACAACTTTTTTTCCTTCAGACAAATGCTCTTACAAGTAGCGTTTCTGGTGTTTTCTGCCAACCGAATGCACCTCTCATTTCCTGAGCTGGTGCAGGCTGAGTTTGTGTTCAAAGGAAAGTGAACTTTGAGCACTGTGGATTGGCTGCTGGCACAGAAATACAGGGCCGAGTCCCCCAGGTCAGTGGACTGGATCTCCACGCTGCAGGGTGAGTTTGTGGGACATTGAGCTGAAAATCGCTCATTGATCACTTCTGTTTTCTCAATAATTTCTTCATTCTGGAGGTACACCAAAAACTTGAGTTCCTCTTCTGGCTTCTGACGATACCAATAGACATAACTGTGTCCTTTTGCAGGGACACAGTCCATCTTTGCTGTCTGTGCCTTTCCCTTGAGCAGATGTCTGGGAGTCTGGGTGACCTCTGTGTCCATGGAGCCTGTGGAGGGAGGAGACAGAAGCTGGAGCAGAAGCCCCTGAGGGAGCCTGGGAGAGCAGCCACAGCAGGCTGAGCAGCCCGTGGGACTGGCATGCGCTGGTGCAGAGCAGGGCCTCACCTGCTCCCCAGAGACACAGGGCCCCCCAGCAGAGCAGACTGAGGCGCATGGTGTGTGCAGGAGGAGAGGAGTGGCAGGGGGCTCTTCCTGTAAGGCTTTCTCCTCCCAGCAGTCACCTCCCTGTGACGTCCTCACTCCCATGGGCTTCACCCTTGCCCTGCACGTGGGCCACACACATGTCATAGGCTGTGGGAGGGGAGGGTGTGTGTTAGCTGATGAGCACAACTGGTGTGATTCTAGCCCACTTCCTCCTTCTTCATGTGATGAAATCTTTCACTGTTTTTGCATTAAAGCCATTTTCATGTCATTTATTTCTTAGCTTTGCAATATTGCTATTTTGTTTCCTTCTTTCCCTCTGATGTCATCAGTTATACAGTTGTAGGCAGAGTATACATAGCTTTCAAAATCTCTTTGTGTTGTGGTAAACATCTTTTCCTTTTTAAAGACTTATTTATTGATTTGAAAGTCAGAGTTACAGATAGAGAGGGAGAGACCAAGAGAGATCTTCCATTCATGGGTTCACTCCCAAATGCTCAATAGCCAGGACTGGGCCAGGCCGAAGCGAGGAGTCCGGAGCTTCATCTGTTCTCCCACATGGGTGGCAGGGGTCCCTGCACTTGGGCCATCTTCTGCTGCTTTTCACAGGTCATTGAAAGAGAGCTGGATCAGAAGTGGAGCAGTTGGCACACAAACCAGCACTCATATGGGATGCAGGAGTCACAGGTAGAAGCTTGATGTGCTATACCTCAAAGCTGGCCCCTTAAATAAATATCTTTGATGCCCATTTTCTATTAAGTATTGTAAGTATGATGCACCAGCCATAGAGTCTGCTACATTTACAAAAGTTACATATCAGCTACTTTACATTAAGATTTAAGTATTGGTGGCTGTTGCTGTGGTGTAGCAGGTAAAGCTGTTTTCCGTGGTGCTGGCATCCGATACAGGTGCCATTTCTACTGAACCCAGAAACTCTGATAAGGGATGCAGGTATGCTTAACTACTAGCTAACCACCTTCTTAAATGAACTGTATTTTTTAGTACGTTTTATGTTTACAGCAAAATTGAGCAGAAATGGCAGAGTCCCCAAATTCCCTGTGCTACCCCAAGCATAGCCTCTCCAGTGTTGTCAGACAGCAGACCTGATGGATGTGGGCCACAGGAGAAGTAGAGACTGCACGGACTGGGCCAGAAGAGCAGGTGCGCCCAGACTCTTCACTCTGTGTCACATATTTGAAATGCATAACACGTACTTTAATTTTTAGCTCATAGTTTTGTTTTTAGAAACAAAGCATGTCTCATCTTAATGTCCACCTAGCAGGGGTTTCACAGCATATCAGAAATGCTTGGATGCACATATTTTACTGTTGAGCACAAGCGTACTAGCACATAGGGGGTTCAGGAGGGAAATGGGACTGACATTGTGAGTTCTCGTGAGGTTGCTGACCATCACTGACTTCTGAGTAACACCAAGACATTTAAAGACTGAATCTGAAACTGAGGTGAAAACTTAGAACAATGTATGTTAGTAAGCAAATTCCTCATGATTGTTTAAAAAGTACATTCATGATAATTTTATTCAAACATACTTGGGAAAAAGTAGGCAAAAATAGCAATGTATATGCAGCACACAATAATAAAACTATGAAGCAATATTGAAAGGAAAGTTTCAAAGAACACTAACTTCCATTAACTCTACACCAATGCACCTTGGAGACAGCTGCATGTGGCTCAAGTACTCTGCCACCCATGTTTAATACCCAGTGTTAGGCCAGCACCTTGGCTCACTAGGCTAATCCTCTGCCTTGGCGGCGCCGGCACCCGGGTTCTAGTCCTGGTCGGGGCACCGGATTCTGTCCCAGTTGCCCCTCTTCCAGTCCAGCTCTCTGCTATGGCCCGGGAGTACAGTGGAGGATGGCCAGAGTGCTTGGGCCCTGCACCCCATGGGAGACCAGGAGAAGAACCTGGCTCCTGCCATCGGATCAGAGCGGTGCGCCGGCCGCGGTGCGCCGGCCACAGTGCGCCGGCCGCGGCGGCCATTGGAGGGTGATCCAACGGCAAAGGAAGACCTTTCTCTCTGTCTCTCTCTCTCTCTCACTGTCCACTCTGCCTGTCCAAAAAAAAATATCCAGTGTGGCCCAATTCTGGCTGTTGTGACCAACTGGGGAGTGATGTAGCAGATGGCGCGCTCTCTCTCTCTCAATTGATCTTCGAAATAAGTAAACAAATAAACAAATCTTTTTTTCAAAATCCAAAGGCCTCAGAAAAGACACACAGAGGAACTTTTGCTAAAATCTGTAACTGTCATGGTAATCACGAGTATACAGTTTTTTCAAATCTCATTGAAATGTACACTTGAAGTAGGTGCATTTTACTTCATTGATTTTATGAATCAGTAAAGCTGCTTTTACATATTACATGATTGGCATGTTCCTGAGACAGGCGTTGCTGAGAACTTCCGCGAGGTGGAAGGCAGGCATGACAAGCTCATGTAAGGAAATGGGCTGCATCACAGGTTCAGGGTCCACGTGAAAGACACAGCTGATGTGCTCATCATCCTTACTCCTGAGTGCACAGACTTCCCAGGTGAACAGCACAGAACGATATACTTTCTAAACATTATTAGAATCACAGAAGAGTAAGAGAGACAGAGAGAGGTGTCCTGGTGTACTTGCCTGGTATCCTGTGCCCTGAGAACTGTGAACCCCTTGGTTGCCTTATTCCCCATTCTCTGGGTTTCTGCTGCCGTCCTCTATTTTAAACTCCTAACTTCCTACCTAGAACTGTCATTTACATTTTTCCTTCAGACCTATGCTCTTCAATTTCGTTTCTGGTGTTTTCTACCAACCGAATGCTCCACTCATTTCCTGAGCTGGTGCAGGCTGAGTTTGTGTTCAAAGGAAAGTGAACTTTGAGCACTGTGGATTGGCTGCTGGCACAGAAATACAGGGCCGAGTCCCCCAGGTCAGTGGACTGGATCTCCACGCTGCAGGGTGAGTTTGTGGGACATTGAGCTGAAAATCGCTCATTGATCACTTCTGTTTTCTCAATAATTTCTTTATCCTGGAGGTACACCAAAAACTTGAGTTCCTCTTCTGGCTTCTTACGATACCAATAAACACTTCTGTGTCCTTTTGCAGGGACACAGTCCATCTTTGCTGTCTGTGCCTTTCCCTTGAGCAGATGTCTGGGAGTCTGGGTGACCTCTGTGTCCATGGAGCCTGTGGAGGGAGGAGACAGAAGCTGGAGGAGAAGCCCCTGAGGGAGCCTGGGAGAGCAGCCACAGCAGGCTGAGCAGCCCGTGGGACTGGCATGCGCTGGTGCAGAGCAGGGCCTCACCTGCTCCCCAGAGACACAGGGCCCCCCAGCAGAGCAGACTGAGGCGCATGGTGTGTGCAGGAGGAGAGAAGTGGCAGGGGGCTCTTCCTGCAAGGCTTTCTCCTCCCAGCAGTCACCTCCCTGTGACGTCCTCACTCCCATGGGCTTCAGCCTTGCCCTGCACGTGGCCACGCACATGTCATAGGCTGTGGGAGGGGAGGGTGTGCTGTATCTAGTGAAGACAACCGATTTGAATTTTAGCCCACATTCATTTTCTTCTAAGACTCACTCTTTCACTCTTTTTGTAAGAAGTATTTCTAATAAAGTCTTTCTGTAATAAAATCTTTTTAATAATGTTACATATTTATTGGCTTTTAACAATGCTATTTTGTCCCTCCCCTTCTATCTCAGATAATGAATCATTCAACTCAGTTTGTAGAATGCATGAATTTCAAGATTTAGTAGTGCTAAACTAATTGTTTACTTCCACTTTCTATACCCTGCCACCATATGCCCCATACACTGTCACTCCTCCCAAGACATGGTTTACCTTTATAGGGTGCCCATGTTAACTTCCCTTTGCCAACATTTCTTTTTGAAAAGTTATAATTATTCTTTATGTATTCTAGATACCCCACCTTGGTCATCTATATGTGTTATTAAAACCTTTGCAATTTGTGGTTTATGTTTTCACTTTCCTTGTGATGTTTCTCTTGAGTTTCTTAATTTAGTAAACTTTATCATTCTTTTCTTCCAAGTGTGCTTTTTAAATGATTTGTATGAAGTTCTCCCCCATAGCACAAGTTCATGGAGAAACACTCCTCTGTGTGTGTGTGTGTGTGTGTGTGCACATACACATTTTAACCAAAATCTGTAACATTTTGAATCTGCATTTAAGCATTTAATCCATTTTGGCTTAGGCTGTGAGGAAGGGTTTAAATTTATCTTTCCTTGTGTGGGTAATGGCTTGTTCCAGGATAACTTATTGGATACCAAGTCGTCCTCATATATCAGCAATGACAGCTCTACCCTCTGTCAAATTTCTATATATACATGGGCTTGTTTTTCTTCTACCATTACTTCCCAGTGAGCTATTTATTTCTGCCTGTTTCGTTATCCTAAATATTGAAGTAATTTGACAATTGACAGGAGAATTCACCTCATTTTACACTTCTATCTTGCCTGTTCTTTTACTTCATTTCCATTTGTATTTTAGATTTTTTGTCAAATTTCATGGAAACCTATCTTTTGTGGTTTTGATTAATGTCTTCATGACTACACAGATGGTCTTGCAGATGGAAGTCGTCCTCCCTATACCAGAAGGAAAGCACCATTCATATCAAGGGCGAGACATGGTGGTTGGATGAAATTGGACAAAAAGTCCTTGTTAAGCTAACCTTTATTCTCCAGGTCTCTCTGTATCCCACCAACTACCTAGTCCAACCCAATTGTGTCTTGTCATGGTTTCTCAAGTCACTGCTTTGTCCAATTCAGGATATAAATATTCAATTTTGACTGCATATTGGGTCTTTGTTCCCTTTGGGGGCCCCAGTGTTGTGTGAAATCTTTATTAAATAAATTTGCCTATGAATCTCCTGTTACTCTGCTTAATTCCCTTTTTTTGAAGATTAACTTATTTATTTGAAAGGGAGGCAGGGAGGGAGGGAGGGAGAGAGAGAGAGAGAGAGAGAGAGAGAGAGAGAATCTTCCATCTGCTGGTTCAGATCCAAAAGGCCACAATAGCCCAATAGCCAGAGCGTAGCCAGGCTGAAGCTGGAAGCCAAGAACTCGATCTTGGGTCTCTCAAATGGCTGGCAGGGCTCTCTCCCAGGGGCAATAGCAGGGGAGGGAACTGGATTGGAAGCAGAGCAGCCGGGGACTCTAACCTGTGCTCCAACATGGGATGGCAGCTTGTAAGTGGTGGCTTAACTCATTGGGCCACAATGTCAGCCCCTAATCTGTTTAATTCTAAGGCCCAGAGGAGAACACTCAGGAAATAGAGGTATGTTTTTGCCTCCCCTGCTCAGTCCATTATTCACACTGCAGCCAAGGTGACATGTGCTTATCTGATTACTACAGGAATAAGACGTTTAAAACCTCAATGGTTTCTACTCAACTTTATGTTCAACCCTGGTTCATTCACCTTGGTTTATAAAGTCTTGACTGGTGTGAAATCTTCCTACCCAGTCTCATCCCCCCCCTCCGATTTCTGCTCCTGCCATACTGCTGACTTCCTTCCATTCATAGAACACACCAACTTTTGTCTTGACCGCAAAATTTTGCACTGGTTCTTTCCTGTTTCTTAAATGTGCTTCTGTTAGTTTCTTTACCCCCAGTCCCACTTAATTAATTCTGGCTCATCTTGGTGTACAGTATCAAGGAAAAATATTTAACATTTTTTTCTCCTAACATTTCTTAATAGGATAATAAGCATTAATATATGATTTCAGGGCTGCAGACAGTCAAGGATTTAGTCACAGTTCATCTTTATTAGGTAAAACAAAGAATCTGAACTATCTTTTAAAAATAGTACCAGTAAGTGGATTACAGATAATAGGCACTCAAATGTAAGGGGTAAAGCTGCTGCCTGGGAAGCCGAGTCCCATGAGGGTACTGGTTTGTGTCCTGGCTGATCTACTTCCTATCCAGCCCGTGATAATGGCCTGGGAAAAGCAGGGGAGGATGGCCAAGTGTTGGGGCCCCTGATACCACGTGGGAGACCCAGATGAAGCTCCTGGCTCCTGGCTTTGACTTGGCTCAGCCTTTGCTGGGGATGAACCAGTGGATGGAAGATTCTCTCTCTCTCTCTCTCTCTCTCTCTGTAATTCTGACTTCAAATAAATAAACACATCTTTAAAACAATAAATAGAATAAAATAAATAGCCACACATAGACAAGTAATGACTGTGTTATGAGCCACAGAACAAGATTAATAAGATCTCATGCATTTCCCATCTTCTGATACACAGGCAACAGTTTCTCCTCACATAAACCTAGGGTTTGAATCATTGGGTCATGGGATACAGGACTGCTCAGCTATGTGGGAGAATGGAGAGCCATTTCCAAATGGTTTTGTGAACTAAATGGAGTGCCCAGAATGAAATGGGACGGCAGGGCCCTGAGATGGGCCATCGGCTGTGCTGTGAGGAGGCCTGGCAGTCACGTTAGTGCCACCTCTCCCCTCCCAGTTGAGGCACACGGGCTCCAGCCACACAGAGCAAAACTGGATGAAAAGGTCAGCCTGATGTCTCAGGCATGTGATAGGAAGATAAGTCACCACCCAGCGGCTGTCTCCTCCTGTGTATGGGCCACACAGGGATGCGAGTGCATGATGCAGCCCCTTGTAATCTGTGACCTCACTTGACATTTGCCACAAGATGCGCTCTCCTCTTACTACAGAACAACAAGATGAATCTTAACTAAATTTGTCTCATAGACCTGATTTTCTGCATGTACTCAGTGAAGAAAGGCATAAAACCTAGGTCCTTACAACAACAACAAAACAGGTGGAGCAGTGTGTTCAGGGGATAACTGACACTGTGTACCTGGGGCTAAGTCCTCCTCCAGCTCTTAGTAAACTCTGTGCATTTTTCAGCTCAACGAGACTGTGTCACTCTGCCCCCACCAGGAACTTATAAGTGCTCCTGTGGATCTGAACTCACACTAACACTTCAGAACTTCCATTTCAACAACAAAATGGATTGAAAAGGATCTGTCATGGTATCTTGCTTCACATTTTCCTGATCACAAGTGAAGCCAAAGTAGCTCTTCAGATGCTTGGCGATCACTATGTTTCTTTATTACGATATCTTACTTTCCTTTGCTCATTTTCTACTGGGTTAATCCGACGTGTGGTCAGCGTAGTCCTTTCGTGTCTCCTGTGAAGGGCTTTTTCTCAATGGCCTACCTTCCTTGCGCCACTAATTGCCTTGTATCTTCCAGCAGAAGTTTCTAGGCCAGCCGACCAGCCCTGCTGTCTGAGTCCTTCCGCACAGGTTCTCCGTCTTCTCTTCCTGTGGCACCGTTCACAGCCACCTCCTCTGCAGATGCTCTTGTCTCAGGTGTGGAGAGGGGCTCTTCTGTCCTGTTCCCTACTCTCACCTGCCCGTTCATCAGTCAAAGTTCTGTGGAAGGCATCGTCAAACTCTTTTGTGAGTAGCTCTCTGCCTGGCTGGTCACCATCCTCTCATCTCAGGGGCATAGCATGGCGACAAGATTA